CTCCTGCCATACTGGTCTAGTACTTGTTACTTGTATAGATAAGATTTGTCTAGGAATGTTACTGTATATACTCAAGTATAAGCTGACCCGAATATCAGCCGAGACACCTAATTTTGCCACAAAAATTGCATAAAAATGCTGGAAACTCGGCTTATACACGAGTATATTATGGTATGTTAATTTTAAACATGATACTTTAAAAGTTAGGTTGAGAACCGTATCTCTCTATAAAATACTTTCACTGTGGAAATTTATCCTACATTCCAAAAAAAGTACTTCTGAAAGACTTACATTTTAGAGCCTTACTGTATCTTAGTGTTTTTCAAAATATTTGGGTTTGGGATGCCTTTTTATACTCTTTAGTGAGTCCTTGTGGGATAGGGGTTTACGAGTTAGGCTGCTGGCTTTTTGAAATCACCAGCTGTTCTGAGCAAGAAAGATGAGGATTTTTACTCCTGTGAAGAAATGGTTTTGGAAACCCACCGAGTCAATTCTACCCTTGTCCTAGGATCACTGTATAAGAAGTGACTTCAATGGCAGTGAGTTTGGGGAATTTATACCCTTAAAAATTATGGAAGACCCAGAAAATAGCTTTTGTTTGTAAAATAAAAAAATCATAGAAAGGAGCAGGCTCAGTGGTAGGACAGCCACTGGTCGGACCCCTGAGACTGTGGCCCTGGAACTGAACTTGGCCCTGTGGCTCCATTGTCATTCGACCCCAGAGAAATGCATGAGGGGAACAGTAACACGTGGGTGCACGCAATCCTTAGAATAACCCAGAGGTCTGAGGAGCAGAAGAGGCTCAAGGACAGAATTCGGGAGGCAAGAAGGAAGGGGGTGTAGACAGAAGGGCAAACAGAATGGGAGTGGTTACATTGTGGGAATTGCAATCAGTGACGTGAAAGAAGATGTGTTTAAATAGTTGAATGGAAAATGATTTTTTTACCCATAAACCTTCTACCAATTCACCATCTAATTTTTTAAAAAAGTGCTCTTGTGTCTTGTGAGTCACCTGTTAACAGTTACATTAGAAATCCGAAGGAAAAAGTCATCCATTCATTAAAAATAATAAATTTGTTGAATGTTAATATAAGTCATAGCTTTTTATGCAAAATGAAACTAGTATACTCATATTTCCCAAAATGGGGGTTAAAAAAACAACTTGTGAGAAGCTTGGCATCATTTTACATTTTGGCGATATCTTTCATGTCTGGCTTACTGAAAGCTACACTCACTTCTGCTTCACCAAGCAATCTGTTACAATATGTTATTTTTGCTGCAGTATATGAATATAATCCAACTTCACATAGACAGTTGGAAGAGGCTTTTAAATAGGCTTTTCAGACAATTGAGAATATCTTTCTATGAAACTACACCAAAATTTTGCAACAGGCTAATCTGCTGCAACAAAACCCTGTTTACAGTGTTGAAGAGCACGGCTCGCACTTGGAAGACTTCAAGATGCTCCTGACCTAAGCCCTAGGATTTACAACCGCCTCCTCTGCCTGTGAACGGTGAATAAGGGATACGAAAGTGTGAAGAAGAACCGATGCATTTGAACTATGGTGCTGACGGAGAACAGCGAAAGCACCGTGGACTGCCAGAAGAATAAACAGGTCGTGTCTGTGTTGGAAGAAGTACAGCCTTTGAATGTTCCTTAGAAGCGAGGATGGCGAGAACTCTAGTTTGACGTGTTCTTAGGAGCAGCTCGGCGCTGGAAAAGGACACGATGCTTAAGGGAGCGTCAAGAGCAGAAACCCCACGGAGACGCATCGACACCGCGGCTGCAGCAGGGCGCCCCCACAGGACAGTGTGAGGACGGCGAGGGACTGGGCAGTGCGTTGTTCTGTTGTGTGTCGGATCGATAGGAGTCCGAAATGACTCGTTGGCACCGAACAGGAAAACACCACGCTCAACCATGTTCCTTAAAAGTTAGCTGCAACTTGGAATTTGAAACAGCCAGCTTCAGAAAGTGACTCCGCCCAGTTCCAGACCACCGTAGTAGAGTGAATGCCACAATAAACCGAGTCACTTGACCAATTTGGAATGTCATGAGACTCCCCAAAATCTAGCACTGAGACAGAAGTGGGCATGCCCAGTTGGTAGAATGGTGCCAGTAGCCTGGTTGTCGCAGGGTAGCCACAAACCTTCCATTTATTAAAAAACAAACAAACCATAACTGTGAAGCTCAATAACACAAAGATCATAACATAGTATTCATGAACTTTCCAGAATTGGCGATCTTAAAATGTATTTATCTTTCTTGTGCCTTGACTGGATCTTTTACACGAGCATACTTTGTATCTTGCATCGATCATTTCAAGAAAGTCGATTTACCAAGGGGCGCAGGTCTCCCAACTATTGACACAAAATGAGACCTGAAACTCACTCTAAAAACTCATGCATACTAATAACCCACCCATTTTCACGAGGAATGCCCGCAGTGCTGAGCTGTGAAGTTCGCTATGACACATGCTGGCTTCCCCAGAACTTCACACCAGAAGTTCAACTCTTAGCATTTGGCCAACAAACACCATTCCTTGTTTTCCTCAGCGTGATGGGCCAGCTTGACTCCCTTTTGGACACTCTGCCAGGCAGCTCGTCTGAGTGAGCCTCACTTGGTGGTGGTCATCATACCAGGCCTGGTGTCCCCAAGAATCGTCCACACGTACCTTGCATTGTAGCCATCGTGGCCCGGTCTGTCCGTGCATCTGTGTATGTCCCGCCTTGTCACTGAGGGCAAGGCCTCAGACTGGTGGTGTGGTCTAGTAGGCGGGATCATTTTTACCATTGCATCAAGGACAGTCACGGGAGCTGTGTTTTTTGTAACTCGACTGTGATGCCGAGCATGGTGTGGTGTCTGGCCTTGAATCCAGTGTGGGAGCCCCAAGTTTGACCCGACGTTGCCTTTGCACCATTGGCATAAGCATCAACATGGTGCAGAAGGCAGATCAGGTCTTAGTGCTGTTTTGAAAATAGTTTTGAATGTGTAGAGTCTCAGGAAGGGTCTTGGGAACTGCTGGGTTTTATGACTGTTTGGAAATCCTTTGAACTCTTATCTTACAGCCTCCCTACTGGGAGGCTGCCTCTACCCTAGGGTAGGGCTGAACATCAAATCAGAAATCCATTGTCTTCGAGGTAAGCCAGATTCCTAGGCTCCCTGTAGGACAGAGTAGAGCAGCCCCCTGAGACTTCCAGGGCTGGAGATTGCCTCGTTTTCCTCCTTTGGAGTGGCTGCTGGATTCTAACCACCTTTTTGGCCAGTAGCCGAGCGCTTCCCCGCCTCTCACCACCCAGAAGGATCCCTGGGGGTATAGAGGTTATGCATGGGGCTGCAACCTGAAAGGTGAGCAGTTCCAAACGACCATCTGCTCCTTGGGAGGAAGATGGGGCTTCCTACTCTTGTGAACAGTTAGGAGTCTCAGAAACCCACAGTGGCAGTTCTACCCTGCCCAATCGGGTCACTGTGGGTGGGCATCCACCCGATGACATGAGCTTGAGGGCTTTTTAAAATACTGTATATTATGCAAGACTCCGAGCACCCAAGCCTAATATTTCAGCAAAGTCCATGCTACTGGGTTGAATAGTGTCCCCTCCAGGACAGCGGGCCTGGTTCTATGCCATAGCCCCTGGGTGGTCTAAGCTGTTTGTGATCAGCCCCTTGAGCCCACCCAGTAGTTCTGCAGAAGCGAAGTCTGATGACCTGCTTCTCAGAAAGCAGCCATGGACAGCCTGGAGCACAGACCTCTCCCTGTGAGTCAGGGTCAGCTCTGCGGCACCTGGGCCGGTCCCCAAGCTTCCTCCCAGGTGGGCAGGCTTCTTTTCAGAGCAGTGCTTGGGAGAAGAGAGCCAGTCTCGGCCCTTGAGTGCTAACTGCAGTGCCTAGTGCTATGGGGTGTCCCTGGGAGGTGCCCTCTGGTTGACTCCCAAGGGAAGGGAGAGGATAAGAGCACAGTGCCGTAGGGGATGCATGGCCAGAAGCAAACGTGGTGACATGGGCCATGAAACGGGAGAAGCCAAACCCAGACCATAGCCCTGTTGCCATGGAGTTGAAGGATGGGCAGAAGGCTGAAATCAGATCCCTGGAGTCTTGCTGGGATTTGATCCCCACCCCAAAGGCTCCCAAGCTTGGTGCCAGAGGGAGTTTTAGCATCTCGACAGTAATAGGCCATGTGGTAGGGCCATAGGTGCCACCCCCAGCTTTCTCCGACCTCCATGGACAGAGCCCCTGGGAAGCTGGACCTCTGATGGATCTGGGGGCACCTGGTCGCAGGCCAAGGGACGCACACCCAGAGCTTTGCTTTGCCTAATGGAATTTCTGAAAGGCCGGTGCGTAGGGCATTACAAAGCTCTGTTTGTCCTGGCGGACAATGTGGCTGAAAGCTGCAGGGTGGAGAGAGGAGGGTTTCCTGGAGTCTCCCACAGGACCTTTGTGGCTGACTGGGGACTTACAGGAGCCAGGGCACGGGCCAGTTTGCTTTGGGACCTGGTATCCCTTGGGGACACTAAGGGGTTCTTGCTGCCCGAATTCTCAGGGGGAACTCTGTTGCTGGTGGCGAACAGAGGAAGCAGGGAGTTCACCTGAGCCTGCTGGCCTCGGGAGGGTGAGGGGACAGCTCACGGGATAAGCCAGACCCAGATAAACCCTAACAGGACACTTGGAGCAGGCCCCTGGGCTGCACGCTGTGTGTAGGTAGGGGCGGGGTGTCCTCTTACTATGGGATTTTACTGGGCTGTGGAGTCACTGCCCCCCGTGCAATACACGAGGGAGCCTCAAAACACTGTGGGAAAGTTCTGTTGTCTTTATTTCTATTCGTCCATGAATTTTTCGGCACCCCTCGAATGTAAGGGTTGCGCGTGCTCTCCAGGTTTCATGATGACCTTTGATTGTTCTGCTCTGCCCTTTCCTCGTGTGTGTTGTGCATGTGTGCGTGTGTGTCTTTTGCCCATCATTTCATTTTTTTATACTTTTATGTCTTACAGCCTGGAAGAACACCAGGGCCTTCGGGCCACCATCCACCAAAGGCCCCCAGGTGACTAGGGCCACAGTCGCCTCCCTTGCGTGCCTCTCTGCACTCACGTGTACGCGACGAGACAGCCCCCTCCCCACCGTTGCACACACAGAGCGGCCCACAACCGATGAAATCTCGCTTCAAAATTGGATGGAGCAACCCTTGGGCGCAGGGCGAGAAGCACGTCAGTAGCCGCCCGCTGGCCACATGTCCTCACAGGTAAAGAAAGTGTGCAGAAAGAAGAAGAAGAAGACCCCCGCGGAGCCTACTGCCAAACTAGCTCTGCGCTTTACGAAAGGGGCCTTACGAAAGGGGCCGGCGAAAGGGGCCGGCGTGCTGCGAGCACGGCCCAGTGTGGTAGGAGGTGACACGCAGTGGCCTGGGCACGCCCCCTTGCAGTGGGTGTGGTGACTGGGACAGGAGCAAGTGCCCTGGGCCGCTGCGCCTCCTGGCACCCGCCGGAGTTGAGCAAGTTCCAGTCTGGTGGACAAGCTTGGACAGTGAACTCCCTCCTTGGCCTTTTTAGCTCGTCCGCCCTGGAACAGTGCTGCACTGTTAGAATTCCCCCCTTCCCAGTAGCAATCGAAACCGAGAATTGCCAAAATAATCATTCAGGGAAAACCAGGCCCAGCATCCTTTTTAAGGGACGTCATAGTGGCGTTGGGGAGCAGTTGGAACCTGAGCAGAGAAGCGCCCGGCGTGGCCTTGAAGTGCCCCATCTTCTGGGCAGCCCCTGGTGGAGTGGACAGGGCCTCCTGCCTGGGTTTCCCTTCCAAGAGATGGTCTCCCTTGAGCAGTCCGAGAAGATGTCTGTGTGAGCGGAGTCCTGGAGGGACCGAATCCTGAGATTCCAGTTTCATATCAAGATTTGCAGAGACGTCAGGCGGGAGGAAGGAGACGGAAAGAAGCAGCACCCACAGCTGCTGGTCCCCCTGCTCTGGCCAGTCCTGACCCTGCCCGCGGAAGGGGCCTCTCTTCCCCAGCCTCCATGGCGTGGAGAAGCAAGCCGTCGGCCAGGCATTGGGTGGCCAGTGCACAGCGTGCCCACGGGACACTGCCACCTACCGTGACGCGGGGCAAGGCTGTGACTCCGGAGAGCTGTGGAGCCCCGGGAGCCCCCTGAATCTGAGCGGAGGCAGCCTTGGGACTCGGTCTGCAGGGACTCTGGCCTGCCGTGCACGCTGCGTGCCTTCCCCTTTATGCAATCTCCTTCAGCTTTAAGCAGTCCAGAGCAGGCCCCCCTGCCACCCTGGACACATCTCGTCAGCACCCTGGAAGAGAACGCCCCAGCCACAGTGCTCCAAAAAGCCTTAAGTCCCCTGAGATCTATGTGTCCGCAGCTTGGTGGCTCTGCGATCGCCGGCCACTTCACCGGAACCTCAGGCTGAGTCAGTGACCGCACCCAGCAAACAGGTCCCCTGCGCCCCATGGACTAATGATGCTCTTTCTCCGCAGGGTCCGTGCCCCGCCCCCTGAGGACTTGAGCTAGGCATCCTCAGTGACAGAGGCACCCTTCTCACTATGCATTTGAGGGATCGTGACAGAGTGCTGACCCTCTGATCCCGCCCAGGTCAGTCTAGCTAAAGGGTGGGGGGGCCGCCCACGCCTTCCGCAAGTGTAAGGAAACCACTCCGTGAGAGAAACTGGGTCCCGTTTCTCGGCACCAGGCATTGCAGCCTAAAGGAGAGTCCGCCCCGGTGAAAGTATGTATGCAGCGGTGGAACGCGGCCCGGTCCTGTGCAGCGACTCCAACATCCTCTGCCTCTCCTGGAAAGGCCGCGTCCCCAAGAGCGAGAAGGAGAAGCCCGTGTGCAGGCGACGCTACTATGAGGAGGGCTGGCTGGCCACGGGCAACGGGAGGGGCGTCGTGGGCGTCACCTTCACCTCCAGCCATTGCCGCAGGGACCGCAACACGCCCCAGAGGATCAACTTCAACCTGCGGGGCCACAACAGCGAGGTGAGTGCCTGCATGCTGGGGTCTGCCTTTGAGGTGTCCGGTGGTGCTTTCCAACCGGCTTCCCATTCTCCCACGGAGCTCCGACCCCGTATGGGCGTGGCAGAGCCGCTTCGCTAGGCACTTCCTCCTCCCACCTCACACAGCAGCCTCCACCTCTCTGGAGGTGTCCCCAGGGGGTGACAGCCACCCAACGGGAGCCCAGGGCGCTGTGCAAAGCATGCTGGGAGGGTGGCTAGATGCCCTCCCACTTCCTCTCCAGCTCTGAGGGCACTTTGCCAGCGGTCTGACGCTTAGCTTGTCTTGCCGGTGGGGCCGGCGCATTCACTGAGCTGAAGCAGATGAAGTCATTCATTGGACCAGAGCCATCACGCTCCCCATCGATTGGGTCTGTTCGACTGAGGTTGGGCTGTTACACTCATGCACAGCTTTCTCTGGGCTTGTGTGCCGTCAACAGTCGCACACACTGACACACTCTTGTGACAGTCACATCACCAGCACCCATGGGTTACAGCACTCGCGAAGCACATCTACTGCACAGGGAGCCTGCAGGGTTCCGCCCTGGCCTTGAAAGAATAGCACTCTTTGCTGTAAATGTATTCTTGTTGATCATGCCTCAGCGTTTCATTTTTCCATTTGCTCTTTGAGTACTATTTTTTGGTAAATGCAGAATCCATAGTTTCCCTGAGACATCTTAAAATACCATTTGATGCTTCAAACTCACTGCCATTGAGTTGGTTGATTCTGACTCAGAGCAGCCCTAGAGAAGAGAGTAGAACTGTTTCTGAGGCTGTTAATCTTTGCAGGGAGTAGAAAGCCTCTTCCATCTCCCTTGGAGCAGCTGGTGGCTTTGAACTGCCAACCCTGCAGTCATCTGTTTAGTGTGTAACACATTCCGCCCTCTTGGCTCCCTTCATTTGGTGGTTGTTACTGAAGAGCTATTGTAAAGTGCCCAGACTGGTTTTGGGGTCTTCAGTGCGAAGTGAAGGCGCCCTGCTGGCGTAGTGTTTACATGTTGACCTGCTAACCACAAGGTCGGCAGTGTGAACCGTCAGCCGCCCTGTGGGAGAAAGAGGAGGCGTTCTACCATCAAGGGTTAGCGTCTCGGAAACCCATGGGGGCAGTCTCCCCTGTCCAGTAGTGTTGCTGTGCGTCGGAGTGGATGCAATGGCAGGGAGATAGATGATGAACGTGAAGTAATGTGCATTTGTCTTAAGTTGCGACTTAAGACCATTTGCACGTGGTCACCTTGTCCCCTCCAGCCACACTCGGCTACAGAACAGGGGCCTAGGCCGCCTCCCTATCTCGAGGCCCCGCTGCGAGGCTCCCCACCTGCCTCCAGCACTGAAGATGGGTGGGGGTGGGGTGGGGAGCCAGCAGGATTGCTCTTTCACTGCACACAGTGTCTGTGGGCATAGCTGGTGCGTTCTTGGTCATTGATGCCACGAAGGAAGATGCAGGCAGTCCCCAGGGTCAGACTCACGGCCAGTCCCACTTGCTCTTTAATATCAAGTAAATGTACTCTCACTTTGAGATGTTGGAACCCACCCTGAACCCATCGTTATCTTCATCACCGTGATCACCTTCACTGTTGTGGCTTTTAACTCACGGAAATGACTAGGAGCCAGGCTAAATAAGAGCCTTGCGTCCGGCCCACCCTCCCAGCAGATTCTAAGAGACGCATTGAGGACAGCTCTGGGCCTATCTTCCCAGGCTCCTGGTGATGGGCATTTGGATGGCCTCCAGTTTGGGGCTGTGATGACTTAATGCTGCCATCGGCCTTCACCTGCTTGTCTTCTTGTGGCCCATGTCCTTCTCTCTTGGTTACCTGTCTTGAAGTTTATGAGTCACAGAGTAGGTGGATTGTTTCGGTGCCAGTGCAAACTGCCGAACAACCTGCCGAGCGCTGAGCCATCCTCCACTGCCACCATCACTGTGGGAAAGTCTTGCCTGTGAGGCCGGGTGAGTGGGATGTGGGAAAGGCTGCAGACAAGAAAGGCCAAGGGTCAGAATAATTCCAGATCTTCTGCCCTGTCCAGCCCTGGTGTAATTTATGAAGAAACGTGGCTTTTTAATTTGAGCTCTTGTTCCCTCTTCTAAAACAAAGGATTTTATGCAAGAAATTAGCAACGTTTTTTACAGATGTTTTTGTATCTGTGAACTGGAGATAATATGTATGTGCCTGCATTTACGAGGGCTTTCAGAAATTTCACAGGACAATGGGATGAAAAGATAATTGGAATTATTAAATGACCCTTCTGAAGCTCCTTCATACCGTACCACATAAAATATGTATGTGTAGACCATATGTCATTCATGTAAGAGGATGTAGATGTATGCAGGCAGCGTTTCTTGTAATTCTTTATCTCAGTGTAGATTGGCCGATCTTGTTCTGCCCTCTTGAAGTGGATATACGCTTTTACAACAGACTCTCATTTATTTATTGCTGTGCCACAAATTTTCCCAAACTTAGTAGCTGGGAACAGCACCCGTTTCTGTGCTCCACTCCTCACTGTGATTTGGGTGGAAGTGCAGAGTGCATCGTTTTCCCATTCAACGTTCTGCATTTCTCTCCGGCCCTGGTTGCCGTCCCTGCACTGTGACAGCGTGAGCCCCACTTCCTGTTTCTCGCTGCCATTTGACCTCCGTTCTGACTCCTCTGTGTTCAGAGGTGTGTCCCTGGGCGAATGCTGCTCTTTCAATCCCATCCGGTTGGTTGTGCTAAGGAGGGCCTTCTTCCTTCGCTTTGTAAGTCTGTCTGGTGTTTGGCTGAAAGCTGGTCCCCGTAGTCTGACGCTTTCACCAGTCTCTGTCAGTGTGCCCCACAGTTTTCTCCCACTCTGCCCAGGTCCTCCCGTGGCGATCCCTCTGAGTGGTCAGCACCAGCACCCACAGCTCACAGCTGTGCAGGCGAAGACCAGGCCTGGCGTAGCTTAGTGTGTGGGTCTTATGGGCTGGGCTGCAGTCTCCTTTGAGGTGTAGCGGCCTCACCCACGTGCAAGTTGTCAGCAGGTTTCTGTTCCACGTGGTTTAAGATTGAAACCTTCAGCTCCCCGAGGCCACTGCTGTTTCCTGCCACGTGGCCCCTCCACAGCAGGGCAGTTAGCTTCTTCAAGGCCAGCGGGAGAGCCTGTGCTGTCACAAGGCCCAGCTAGTTAGGTCAGACCCACCAGGCCCATCACACTCCAGGGGAGGGGACTAAGCCAGTGTTCATCCCAGGGAGGTCTCCTTTAGGACTCTGCTTGCCACAGAGGGAAAAGGAGAGACCACGGTGTCACCATCCTTGAGTGTGCTGTGATTGTGCGACTCAGAAGGGACTCCGCCACACCGCACAGCCACAGGTCTGTTTCAGAATTGAAAATAAAGCGAGCTCCTTTCTCCACTTTGAATTTTGACTCCAGTGGATTTCTATTGTTAGATCGGCAAAACTTTATTAAGTGGCCACCAAGTCGGATGACCAGCCCCGACTGACCACTTGCCAGGTTTCCTGAGTCAGAGGCGTTCATCCTGACCGCCCCTCCAGGGTGGCTAAGTGCCAGACACCTGCTCGCTCTCAAGCCCTCATGTGGTTTCCCCACCTGGCTTGGGGCGGCCTAGCTATCACTGTGCCCACTTTACTGGTAAGTAAACTAAGGCTTGTAGATGTTCTGCAACTTCCTGAGCTCACGCACTTGGCGTGGAGGAAAGGCGCAGTTTGAACTCAAGACTAAATCATTCTTCAGCTTAGCTTTATGATGTTCTTCTTTTAAAAAATTATTTCTCATCTATTTACCCCTCTTTTTTTATTTTTAATTTTTATAGTTTGTTTTTTGTTGTTGGGAACAAATACAGTAGAGCATACACCTGTTCAGCCCGTGCATGAGAGTGACACTGACTGAGCCTAGCCTTCCGGTTGGGGAGCCCCCTCCCTTTGCTGGGTTGTTTCTCCCCCACCAGCATCCGCTCACAGCCCCCACATTGCCTCTCTAACACTTTGAATGGTGTTCGTCAGCTTGATCCCCGGACAGAGGTTTGAAACGTGCTCAGGGCAGGCGCCTTTCCTTCACTCACTAAACTCTTGTTTGGCTTTCAGAAGACTTCAGGAGGTATTTTTGGTTCAAGATTTCAAGATGATCTCCGGACAATAGTTTCAGGGATTCATCCAGCATTCACAGTGCCAGAAAGTCTGGCATCCATGAGAACGTGAGCTGCTTCTCTTCATCCCCCGATGATTAGGATTCTTCTGTGGGACCTCACATCACAGGGCTCAGCCATGGCGCCCTACCACCCACATCTTCTTGGTCTCATGGTGAAGCAGGGGGTTGTTTCTGGAGCCGGTTCTCCAAGCATTCCGTTTCTGCCTGTTCTCCGGGGCTCTCTTCTCCACCCCCCCCCCACCCCACCCCCCCGCCCCCTGCTGCTGCTCCAGGCAGAGAAAGAACTGCTCTTGGACCTTGCTCTTTATTGCATTTAAAAGGCTGTGTTCAGTAGAAGCCCACTGCCCCTTACCTGCGACTGTGAAACCTAAGGGGAACGTGTTTTTGTCACTAGTTTCATCGTGCTGCCTGGCCTGGGCTGAGGTGTGTGTCATGCCTTCCCCCCACTCCCTGTGCTGCAGCAGTAACGCCTGTGGGTGTGTGCGATGAGCTATGCCCTGGACTCCTCTGGGTCTAGCCATTAGGATGCTAGTTACGCTAGATGCCTTGTTCTTGCATTTCTAAAATTAAAAATAAAATTCCGGAAGTATCCGACCACAAGGATAAAGCATTGGGGACGTGTCTCTCCATTTACAGGAATGGTGATAGGGGGCCTGAGAGCACGCCCACTCATTCCTCTTCAGGGGGACTGCGTTGAACTCATCTCTAGCCATGGTTCTCTTCTGTCACCACAAGCAAAATCCCAAACAACAAGCCTTGCCTCCTGTCCCAAAGTTATGAGAACTTCTTCGACACAACCAAACGCTCTGAGGAAATGAGGTGCTGAGCCTCGGGGGCTCAAGACCACAGATTCAGAGGACAGTAAGG